TCATACTCAAACTTCTCGACGATGGCCATCTCGTCCAGCAACAGTACGCATTTGCGCTCCTGTGGCTTGAGGTGAGGCACCTTCTTCTCTAGAAGCTGGAATACTTCTCCCAGCACCCCGGGCTCGAAACGGATGCCTAAAATACAAGATTTTGCAGTTTATTCAGATTATTACATCCACTCATACTAGTATCTTGGGAGCTCAAAATGGATTCAACGAAGTTCGAAGGACTAGACACGGCGGTCCTTCATTTCACCAAGCTTTCAATCTGTTTAGCGGAATTATAATCTTCATTACGACATTTCAACACTTAAACTGACAAAGGCAAGGGCACAAAAGGCAGTTTTATCTTTTATACGCACTGAACTCGACCCCAAACAGACAAGCATGCCAGTAATGCCACGCGCGTTGCCGAGCAAGGACGTACGTGGCCAAATGGTTACCGCACTTGGCTGTCACACAGAGGCTCCAGGTTCGATTCGAGGGAGCTGAATGCTCTTTTATTTATTCTTTCAACTTGGCGTTCTTGTAAGTTCGAGAACATTGTCGTCCGATTGAGTTTCAGACGTTCTGCGAGACGAAAGTTCTACGCAGAATGTTCCAGAAACTCACGCGGGTACAAGAGGTGCTCTGCGTGGTGAGCCGGAGTCAGTCTCGACCCAACGCTTGATCCTGCCGTCACGCTGCCATCAACGCTAGGCTTTCTCATATTTGTTTTGGGCACAAGTTCGCCCCATGAAACATTTAGTTTGTTTCAGTTTTCGTCGCCTTATCAATTGTCATTCGTGACAATATAATAAGAACCAACCACCTTGATTTGAAGTTAAAATTAAAAAAAACGGTAGCTGTGAAACACCAAGATAGAAGCTAAAGCAATCCCAGAAATATACAATTGTGCTCTCCGGTATTTTAATTTTCAAGTAAACTACATAGCGTATAATTTTAATGGAACAGGATAATGCCATGCAACAATTTTTTCGCTGATGATAAATTCTGCATAAACATAATCCTTGATGCTCTTAACCTACAAAACACAATTTTTCTCTCCACACTATGGTAGTTGCAAAAAAAAAAGACTAAAACAAGCAGCCTTCTCCCACTTAACTTGCAGCCAGTACAAGTTGCCATGCGATCTGCTATTACTTATATGCCGTTCATCAAAGCCATGGGCTGGGGATGGTAAAGCATGTAGCACGCAGCATGTGGTGAGCTCCAAACAATCTTCAACGTTGGCTATTCTTGTGCAGAGGTTAGCCAAGAGCCACTACCCAAATGCACCGATTGTCAAGAGCCCAGCTCGATTGTTCATGCAGTTCTCCTCAAAAACTCAGGTGTCTCATTTAGCTATCGTCACCACATGGTGCTCCCCCTGACTGTAACCAGGGTTATCTTCGGGGCGATATTATATAGCAAATTACGTTTTAGCAAATAGGCTGTTCATAGCCCTCGGCAAAGTAGGCTTTCAGCAGACCATGCTACATGCACTCACCCTTTACTGTCGCTTGGGGGAAATGAGATTATCAAGCTCAAGCGTGAACCACCTAGGGCAGGAATAACCAAACTGCTCTTTGCGGGCCGAAGTGCGGCTCTCGTGGGGCTCAAATTAAAATAGTTTGGCTGAAACACGAAACTTTATAAAAATGTTACAGTGGGGAACAGGTGGAAAACATGACATTAATAATACTGGGTTTGAAGCAGGCACGTAGCCAGGAAAGGGACCCATGGAGTTGCCTCTTCAATCTTCAATTTTGCTGGGGCCTCCTCTCCTCTCTCCCCCTCATACAGGATTTTGTCCTGTATGAGTGGGAGGGAGTCAAAATCCTGGCTACGAGCCTGGGTTGAAGTTGCGATTTCGTTGTCAATACGCATCTTTATTGGCCTCCTGATCCAATAAAGATCAATATAAATTTTACATTAAGTTGTACTAATGGTCAGGTGGAGGCAAATCAGCTAGAACATAATCTATTGCTTTTATTTTCTAGCTTCTTTGCAACATCCTCGCATGGTAAGATGAGGCAGCATTAGCTTTGTTTGAAACGTTCTGCCCAAAATTGTTTACAACCTTTGCTTATTGACCTACATTTTCATTTCATTTCATTTATTTACCTCAAGGGCGTCTTTGAGGACGCATTACATGAGGGGGGTAGGTGGTACATGCATTTGTAACAACATAGTCACACAATTTTCAAACACAGTCATTGTTATAACAAAATCATTGCAATCAGCCCAGCACAGTTTACAAAAAGGAAGTCACATCGTACGTACACAACTGCAATTTTGAACTGGACGTAACTATATATAAAACAACAATTTCAATATGAAAAAACGGAAAGTGACTATGAAAACAACAAACAAGCATGTACGTGTACTATTCATGCCACAGGCGCTCGCACATTGTTTTAAATTCAACGGGATTTGTGTTAGTAACCATCTCGTCTGGCAAGTTATTCCATTCAGTAATCAATAATATTAAGGGTGAAAACAGGAATGAATTAGTGTGTGACTGGTATTGCTGCACCTTACAGGAATTATCGGTTCGAGGAGAAATATAATGTGCGGAATGACAATGGGTGCTTTTAAAGCACGAGTTGCTGTAGTACAAGTCATGAAAGTAACATATGCGGTAAATATTGCGCCGGGTAGACAATGGAGCCAGACCCAAATTTATTTTTAAAGCTGAGACACTAGTTTGAGGCGAAAAGTCGTTTGATATCAACCGGGCTGCTTTGCTTTGGACAGATTCTAATTTGGAAGAAAGATAATTTTGATGCGGATGCCATATGATACTTGCATATTCTAGTTTAGGGAGAATAATTGTTTTATATGCTAGCAGTTTTGTTGAAGTGGGGGCCAGGTGTAGGGTGCGCCTTAAGAAACCTAGAGATTTAAATGAGTTGGTGACTAAGTTATCGATCTGTTGTTTCCATGAGAGAGTTTCAGAGATGTTTACTCCTAAGTATTTGTATAGTGAAACACATTCAAGTTGCTGCATGAGTAACGTATATTGGCTGTATGATTTGTTTGTTTTCGTAGTAACGGTCATTTTGGAGGACGTTATGGTCTGTCGGGTCTAAGATTTTTCTGTAAATAACACAATCATCTGCGAATAGGCGGATGGTTGAGGTAATCGAAGAGGGAAGATCGTTGATATAAATGACTTATCGACCTACATTTGCTTATTAAAATTGTTCTTTTACAAATGATGCAATGCAGCAGCCTAATGAAGAAACGAGGTCACTGTTCCGGGTATGCACACAATCAGTAAAAGCTACTAAGCCGAGTCATCTAATATATCCTCTTGATGAAAGCGTTTGGTTATAGCGTGAAATCAAAGCACTACGAAACATAATTTCAACATTTTAACCAAACTTTAAGTATGATGAAGAAGGCTTTATAAAATAATGCCAAGATCACATGAAAGAAACAATATTTCCATCATGTACCTACGCCGCCGCCCCGCCCTGCCCGCCCTCCCCCAAACCATATGTAGAGCGAGTTTGGTCAATAAAAGGAACGGGCAGAGCCAGGGCGTGCGCCAGACGCAGAAAGGAGGCTTGACGTGCTCACCCAATCAGAAACCGAAAAACACCCCTAGCGGTGGTAGCGAGAAACAGTTTTAATAGGCGCATAAGAGTTAAATGTAGTAACTCTTTAAAGTTGAAAATATGGTCCACGTGATGTTTCAATTATGATCATGGAAAAAGATGTAAGAATTGAATGTGCCGCTTGAACTCTGTTTTGCTCGGACAAAGTCTGACCGCTCAGACGGCAGATTCCCGGCTCTCGGCCCCTGGCATGTGGATTATGTCATTCATTCTGCTAGGTTTTTATTTTGCATGACCATGAACGAAAAATCACGTGCAGCATATTTTCAGCCACCAAAAGTTACTCCGACGCACATATTTATTTTGTTTCTCGTGACCACCAGGGTATGATTGGCGGCTTCTGGCTGGCCTCATTCGAATTTGTGAAGGTGACCTGGAACACACCCAGCCTGCTTTCGATCAATGGCGCCACATCATTTACCTCCTATACATCCTACCTTACGGCGAACTCTCTCTAAATACAACTCTTATCCCCCTCCCCTCCCCCTCCCACCCCGATGCAGCTCTCGAAACATGAACAACTTTGCTTGTGGCCCTTGGACATTGTCAGTGTGACCACCCCGGACCTAGGGTTTACCGCAGAGGGTTCAGTAAGCTAACCTACCAAACCATAGAGCCATTGCTAACATGAATGCCACCATTAGCTGAAGTGCCGTTCAATGAAATGTCGTGGTTTTGTTTTCGTTTCTTAAAACATTTTTCGATCAAGTGAATGCCTCCTATCATCTTCACAGTTACAACAGTGAGCTTAGAAAAAAATAATAATGCAAAACATGGCTTTCTTTTAACCTTAAATTCATTTCCCAACAGAAACTTCTGGGTTTATCGTGCTACATGGAAGTATACTGAGGACAAACTAGTGCTAGTATGCGTGCAATGAGATAAGCATTCGAACCCGATATGTTTGATCTGCCCCTTTATATCACACGGAACTAAATAAAAAAGAAACCACGACACCACTTCATTACATCCAGAAAGTTTGTGGAGACTGCAAAATAGTAGAGTTACTACAAAGATATTACATCTGCTAACAACCAACAGGGAGCTTTGAGGCAGATGAGTAACCCAAGAACAAACTTGCCTTCAAGTCTCCGCCTCAGCGTTCTGGACGATGGCAATGGGAAGCCCCCCTCCAGCATCAGGTCGTAGCCCGTGCTGCCACAGGCAAATCGCATCTGCAAAGACTTTTTAACAGTCTCGTTAGACCACTTGGATCCCCTGTTGCTAGTTCTTGACAAAGCTAACAGTTGATCCGCAGTGAAGATCTTGCGCAAGTGTGTGTGGAATGTAGCTTCCCGTGTCTTCTGCAAAGCAGCCTGCCTCACCAAGCAGCGGTTCTCATTCTCCAGGTGCTTAATTCTCCTCTTCATCTGAAGAATTACATCTTCGGTGAGTCTAGGTGAAATGAGCGATGGACATACAGGGTGCAGGGTCCTTGTCGACGTCCCGGCCACTGCTTCCTGGAATCATGGCATGGGAACCAAATGATTCTCCACGTCACAAAATCAATCCAAGCTGCGTAGGAACCATGGGAGTACATACCCTGCTGGTGGAGGCTCCGTCGCTAGATCCCTTCGCACCGGTCTGGAGATGCTGCATGGCCTCTGCTGCCTGCTGTAAAAAGTGTGGTGGTGTCATTTCACAGCTACGCAGGTCTCATGAAGACACTTACGTAGCACAACCCGCTGGTTGCTGTGAAGGGCGTCGTCCCAAGACAGGCCTGCAGGGTTCCCCTTGAGGTCCCAGCCGCTGCCTCCTGCAACCACGGCATGGGGACCGAATGATGCTCTGTGTCACAAGATCGATGCCAGCTGTGCGAGAACCATGGGACATACCCTGCTGGTGGAGGCTCCATTGCTAGATGGCTCTGCACCGGTCTGGAGGTGCTGCATGGCCCCTGCTGCCTGCTGTAAAGAGTGTGGTGGTGTTACCTCAGGGCTACGCAGGTCTCTTGAAGACACTTACGTAGCACAACCCGCTGGTTGCCGTAAAGGGTGTCGTCCCAAAAGAGGCCTGCAGGGTTCCCGAGGTCCCGGCTGCTGCTTCCTGCAATCATGGCATGGGAACAGAACGATGCTTCGCATCACAAGATCTATTCAAGCTGTGCAGGAACCATGGGACATACCCCGCTGCTGGAGGCTCCGCCGTGGAATGTTTCCGCATCAGCCTGGAGCTGCTGCATGGCCCCTGCTGCCTGCTGTAAAGAGTGCGGTGTTGCTACTTCAGGGCTAGACAGGTCCCCTAAAGACACTTACGTAGCATATCCCGCTGGTTGTGGTGAAGGGCGCTGTCCGAAGACAGGCCTGCAGGGTTCCCCTTGAGGTCCCGGCCGCTGCTTCCTGCAACCACGGCATGGGGACCGAATGATGCTCTGTGTCACAAGATCGATGCCAGCTGTGCGAGAACCATGGGACATACCCTGCTGGTGGAGGCTCCATCGCTAGATGGCTCTGCACCGGTCTGGAGATGCTGCATGGCCCCTGCTGCCTGCTGTAAAGAGTGCGGTGGTGTTACCTCAGGGCTACGCAGGTCTCTTGAAGACACTTACGTAGCACAACCCGCTGGTTGCCGTAAAGGGCGTCGTCCCAAAAGAGGCCTGCAGGGTTCCCGAGGTCCTGGCTGCTGCTTCCTGCAATCATGGCATGGGAACAGAATGATGCTTCGCATCACAAGATCTATTCAAGCTGTGCAGGAACCATGGGACATACCCCACTGCTGGAGGCTCCGCCGTGGAATGTTTCCGCATCAGCCTGGAGCTGCTGCATGGCCCCTGCTGCCTGCTGTAAAGAGTGCGGTGGTGCTACTTCAGGGCTAGACAGGTCCCCTAAAGACACTTACGTAGCATATCCCGCTGGTTGTGGTGAAGGGCGCTGTCCGAAGACAGGCCTGCAGGGTTCCCCTTGAGGTCCCGGCCGCTGCTTCCTGCAACCACGGCATGGGGACCGAATGATGCTCTGTGTCACAAGATCGATGCCAGCTGTGCGAGAACAATGGGACATACCCTGCTGGTGGAGGCTCCATCGCTAGATGGCTCCACACCGGTCTGGAGATGCTGCATGGCCCCTGCTGCCTGCTGTAAAGAGTGCGGTGGTGTTGCCTCAGGGCTACGCAGGTCCCTTGAAGACACTTACGTAGCACATCCCGCTGGTTGCCGTAAAAGGCGTCGTCCCAAGACAGGCCTGCAGGGTTCCCCTTGAGGTCCCGGCCGCTGCTTCCTGCAACCACGGCATGGGGACCGAATGATGCTCTGTGTCACAAGATCGATGCCAGCTGTGCGAGAACAATGGGACATACCCTGCTGGTGGAGGCTCCATCGCTAGATGGCTCCGCACCGGTCTGGAGATGCTGCATGGCCCCTGCTGCCTGCTGTAAAGAGTGCGGTGGTGTTGACTCAGGGCTACGCAGGTCCCTTGAAGACACTTACGTAGCACATCCCGCTGGTTGCCGTAAAGGGCGTCGTCCCAAGACAGGCCTGCAGGGTTCCCCTTGAGGTCCCGGCCGCTGCTTCCTGCAACCACGGCATGGGGACCGAATGATGCTCTGCGTCACAAGATCGATGCCAGCTGTGCGAGAACAATGGGACATACCCTGCTGGTGGAGGCTCCATCGCTAGATGGCTCCGCACCGGTCTGGAGATGCTGCATGGCCCCTGCTGCCTGCTGTAAAGAGTGCGGTGGTGTTGCCTCGGGGCTACGCAGGTCCCTTGAAGACACTTACGTAGCACATCCCGCTAATTGCCGTAAAGGGCGTCGTCCAAAGACAGGCCTGCAGGGTTCCCGAGGTCCCGGCTGCTGCTTCCTGCAATCATGGCATAGGAACAGAATAATGCTTCGCATCACAATATCTATTCAAGCTGTGCAGGAACCATGGGACATACCCCACTGCTGGAGGCTCCGCCGAGGAATGTTTCTGCACCAGTCTGGAGCTGCTGCATGGCCCCTGCTGCCTGCTGTAAAGAGTGCGGTGTTGCTACTTCAGGGCTAGACAGGTTTCTGGAAGACACTTACGTAGCACAACCCGCTGGTTGCTGTAAAGGGCATTGTCCCAAAACAGGCCTGCAGGGTTCCCGAGGTCCCGGCCGCTGCTTCCTGGAATCATGGCATGGGAAAAAAATGATGCTTCGCATCACAAGATCCATCCAAGCTGTGGAGAAACCATGGAACATACTCCGCTGCTGGAGGCTCCGCCGAGGAATGTTTCCGCACCAGTTTGGAGCTGCTGCATGGCCCCTGCTGCCTGCTGTGAGGAGTGCGATGGTGTTGCCTCAGGGCTACACAGGTCCCTTGAAGACACTTACATAGCATATCCCGCTGGTTGCCGTAAAGGGCGTCGTCCCAAGACAGGCCTGCAGGGTTTCCGAGGTCCCGGCTGCTGCTCCCTACAATCATGGCATGGGAACAAAATAATGCTCCACATCACAAGATCCATCCAAGCTGTGCAGGAACCATGGGACATACCCCGCTGCTGGAGGCTCTGCCGTGGAATGTCTCTGCACCAGTCTGGAGCTGCTGCATCGCCCCTGCTGCCTGCTGTAAAGAGCACGGTGGTGCTACTTCAGGGCTACACAGGTCCCTTGAAGACACTTACGTAGCATATCCCGCTGGTTGTGGTGAAGAGTGCTGTCCGAAGACAGGCCTGCAGGGTTCCCCTTGAGGTCCCGGCCACTGCTTCCTGGAATCATGGCATGGGAACCAAATGATTTTTCACGTCACGAAATCAATTCAAGCTGTGTAGGCACCATGGGAGTACATACCTTGTTGGTGGAGGCTCCATCGTAGATGGCTCTGCACCGGTCTGGAGATGCTGCATGGCCCCTGCTGCCTGCTGTAAAGAGTGCGGTGGTGTTACCTCAGGGTTACGCAGGTCTCTTGAAGACACTTACGTAGCACAACCCGCTGGTTGCCGTAAAGGGCGTCGTCCTAAGACAGGCCTGCAGGGTTTCCGAGGTCTCGGCTGCTGCTCCCTGCAATCATGGCATGGGAACAGAATGATGCTCCGCGTCACAAGATCCATCCCAGTTGTGCAGGAACCATGGGACATACCCCGCTGCTGGAGGCTCCACCGAGGAATGTTTCTGCACCAGCCTGGAGCTGCTGCACGGTGCCTGCTGCCTGCTGTAAAGAATGTGGTGGTGTTACCTCAGGGCTACGCAGGCCTCTAGAAGGAAGACACTTACGTAGCGCAACCCGCTGGTTGCCGTAAAGGGCGTCGTCTCAAGACAGGCCTGCAGGGTTTCCGAGCTCCCAGCTGCTGCTCCCTACAATCATGGCATGGGAACAAAATAATGCTCTACATCACAAGATCCATCCAAGCTGTGCAGGAACCATGGGACATACCCCGCTGCTGTAGGCTCCGCCGAGGAATGCTTCTGCACTGGTCTGAAGATGCTGCATGGCCCCTGCTGCCTGCTGTGAGGAGTGCGGTGGTGTTGCCTCAGGGCTACACAGGTCCCTTGAAGACACTTACGTAGCATATCCCACTGGTTGCGGTGGAAGGCGCTGTCCGAAGACAGGCCTGCAGGGTTCCCAACGAGGCCCCGGCTGCTGGTTCCTGCAATTCCAGCATGGGAAAAGAATGATGCTCCGCGTCACAAGATCACTCCACGCTGTGCAAGAACCATGGAACATAACCTGGTAGTGGGGGTGGTTCTCATTTTAACCGATTCACACTTTTTGTTCTTGTATGTGCCTTCACATTTTAACCTTCTCAAAATAACTCCTTTTCTCATTTCGACTCTTCTCAAAACAAACTTTCTAATTTTATCCCCTCTCAATCTCAGTTTTACAGATTACAGAAAAACTATTTTATTTTGAATCTTCTTGAAACAACTATCATTTTATCCCTTCTCAATAAAACTCATTTTTACAGCCCTCAAAAAAAACTTTTGCGATCGGACCCTTCTCAAAACAACCTTTCACTGTTTATCCACTCTCGAAGCAACTTCTTTATTTCAGCGTACTAATTAATTTATCTTTGTGAATGGGAACTTTTGATACTGCTATTAACCTGGATTTCACTAATCAGGCGAACGGGAACGGCACACATTTGTCAGCAGGGTAGTTTGTTCTGGCGGGAAGACTGCCTGAGGATATCGTATATGCAAACTGACATATCGCATACCGATAAAGAGCATGTTCTTAAATCAACCGAGAGTTCCCATTGACAGCCTAGTGAGAGTGCCACTTTCATTTTATTATGTGGACTGCTGTACAGAGAACTTGTAGAAAACTGGTAGCATTGGCATTCATGCCTCTGAGCAATGCTTAGCATGCTTGGGCATACTTACACCAAAATGAGGGCTCCCTTGTTGTCCACATTATTATATCTCTACTTGTCTTCCTTAAAGCCACGGTTACGAGTAGGAAAGTGCTTCAAAATTGGAATCCTGGAAAAAGGGGTGCTCCGACAAACAAACGGGGAAAATCACGAGACAACAATAGTGTCATGCCCGAGAGGGTAAATATTAGGTTATTTCCTTCATTGTTTTTACCAGAAAAAGTGAGGCCCCAACCCGGATCTATATAGAGTGTCCCAGTTATCTCGAACCAAGATTTTTAATAAGATGACTAAGTGCTCTATGCAAACAGAACTAATGTTCTTAGTAGGTGTCTTGGCAAAGAGTCACAATATTTTTATTTAGCCTAATTAATTCATTAAAAGAAATTAGAAGACCTTAAAATGTTGAATCAAGGAAAGGTGTAAATTTGCAAGTTGTAGAGAGCACCCGCTCGACGTGTTTTAACATATGGTATGCTTTGCCTGCTTTTTATTCAAACCTTCAAAGAATGCCTATTCACGGCCCACCTTTGCGCCATAATTGGGTGTTCAAAAATAGCACGTTGTCTCGGGGTACCATATTTGACGGTCATTTCGTAAGGGCTGGACAAAAGACACACACAAGGTGCACTACGATACAAACACCTCACTTCCAATTGACATTTATGCCCTTTTATCAATATTTTAAAATTAGGTCAATTTCTCATTAATTCTTTAATTAGAATCAATGAAAAATACTGCTTTATAGAAAAGGTGACTACTAACAACAGACAGTTGGTTTTAAAGCACTCCTTTTTTGAAAGCTTGGTTCGACATAGCTGGAACACCCTGAATATGCGCAGGTATAACAAGTGGAAGTTCCAGGTGTGGCAGAGGCCAGAAGTGGGCTAAGAAGAACAGAAATGCCTCGGACATACTGTGCCACTTGGCGACGCAAATTTCTTTGCGTGATTTTCTAAACAAGACTAGGGCAAACTCTCTGCTCCATCTCACCATAAGTCGACGAACAACAAAGGTTACGGCCCACGTGAGCCAATCAGTGCGACGGAGTGAAGCATGGGCACTGTTTCACAGAGGGGTAATGCTCAGTGACGGCGAATGTCAGTGGCTCGCCTTAAAGGGATACTACAACGAAATTTCGGCGCTCATTTTTTGGTCTATATGTGTTCAAAGGAGCAGTATCACATGGAACATACCAATATCTTGTTAAAAAAGTCACAAAAAGGAATTTTAAAACGAATTAAACGATTAGCAAAGAGCACCTGGTGGATGTCGCTAACGCCTCGCTTGTAATGCCCGTCTAGGAACCTTGGCAGCTAGTGACGGAGGTTGTCTCGCCTCCGGCCACGACGAGAGAAGAGGGGCAGCAGGAACTCCCCTCTTCCCGAGAATGCCTTTTGTGTGTCACAGAAGTCGCTATTGTCCCCCTACAAGATTATAGAAGATTAACCCGTCACTCAAACTTTGTACAAAAGCAGCCGCTTCGGTTGCTGGAACGACTACGCTATCCTCTCGACGTCAGCCTCGCCGTAGCTTTGCTCGTCTTGAGACGACCTACGTCACGATTGCGTTGGATGTCACGTGGTCTCCGCTGGGCCTTCTCCGAGCGCTTGCCAGAGTGGGCCGTTTATAACGAAAAATACAGCCACCAGGCTCAAAATACAAATGTGCGATTGTCATTTACGGATATTGTGGATCATATTCAACCTATTTTTGAACACGACGGGAATATTTCAAATTTCGTTGAAGTATCCCTTTAACGATCAAATAGGCTCGTCTGGGAAGCAGCCTTCATTCTTTGTCAAGTTACACTGAAACAGAGTATATTAGCCAGTTTATTTGTATTTTTGACGCCGTTTCTAACCTCCTTTGTGTTCATTCTATCTAAAAGTTGTGAGGGGAAATGAAACTTTAAAATAAAGGCTGACCGAGCATGCCGCAGCATTGGACAAAAGTACAGCATGATGACAAAAGCACCTTAAAGGGGTAGGGAAACAAAATTCCAGCGCTCATTTTCTAGCTTGAATGTGTTGCATGTTGCACCCTAACCTCAAAAACACTAGTCTTCCGTGGAAAGGCACAAGAAAACTAATTTTAAAGCTAAATAAAACCAGTGTGTCGAACCGAAAAAAATACGGGTTCGGTTACGGTTCAGGTAAATTAATTTTGTTCCGGTTCAGTTCCAGTTCGATTATTTCGATCCGCGAACCGGTTCGGAAATTCTAAATGACAAATTGCAACATCAAAATAAATTACAAATAAAACATCTGAAATCAGCACATACGAAACGGGATACATCGTAGTGTAAGGCTCAGGGATTTTTACCAGGAATGGTTTCTTTATGTGCACTCAAAGGTTGCCACACCGACGTTTACGCATTCGGACTTCATCTAATTGTGTCCGACGCAGTAGCTGTAAAATCCGCGACCTCCTTACAAACCCACTTACAAGTAGAACTCGCTAACTATCCTGCCACCTCGGCGTGTAAGCAATTGAAGGAACAGTGGGGAGAAAATACAGCTTTCTTTATTTGAACTAGCCTTCGGTAACTCAAATTAGACCCTTAGAGAAGTTTTCATTAAACAAGATACGGAATATGAAAAACACTTCACCGAACGCAATACCAGAAGGACGTAATAGGATAAATATTATAATAGAAGAGTTCGCTGTCTCACATATATGTTAGCTTCTAAGTGCCTATACGAAACCGGATGCATTATTATCAAACACCACAGCCTTTTCTTTTCTCATTCCGATGGAAGCAAGCTTCAAGAACTCCCGCGTTCTAGAAACGTGTTAGGAAATGAGCACACAGCAGCATTTAGGCTTTACGAGATTGTAGGGAAATGAAATCCCATGACGCGATTATTTTTTATTTTTTTTTGCACAGCCTTCCAATTCTCTTTTCCGTGCAAGCCGCGACCAGCGCAATACTGGTTCCTATGTCAAGATTCATAAATGCAGCGTTCATATTCCTAAGACTGAGTGGAGAAGAAAAATATGTAAGCGAGGTGTGTGTCAGTTGACGGCACTTAAAAAACAAATGGTATTGATAGCACAATCATTGTCAACAGCGCGTGGCCTAACCGTTTTGACATGAACCGGTAACCGTTATTTTTTTTCCGGTTCAGTTCCGGTTCGGGTTCGGGTTCAGTTCCGGAAAAAATACCAGTTCGGTTCCGGTTCGACACCCTGAAATAAACAATCTTTCAATGTGCACCTGGTGGATGCTGCAGAACCCATTTGGGAGGTAGTCTAGCAACGTTGTGGAATCTGCTATGTAGTCGTGACGTAGCAGATTCCTTCAAAGCAGCGCCGCTCTTTGGCATTTCAACATCTTCCCTCTTAGCTTTCCTCCTCAACTCACAAGTCGCGCATTGTACCAAACGGTCCAAGAAGATGGAAAGGAAGGACTCCCTTCTTTCTCGGACCCTCATTCGTGCAACCGGACACAGCCACTCTCCCCCTAGAAGATTAGCCCGTCACTCAAAACTCGAACAAAAGTTGCTTTCCCCACCCCATTCAGCCCTAAGCTGACAGTGTTGTGGAATTAAGCTACGTGCTCCTTGGGCCAGCCACATGCTAGTCACCCCACGGGTACTTCGAACGACTTGGTTGTAACGCGCTGATGCTATTGACACCACCACAACGCTGACGCCACCAAGGGCAAAGCTCATAACCACGCCTGCCTTGCTACTCCACGAATGAGGGAAATCTCTTCTTTCTGTTTTTGTTTGCGTCGGATATCCCATGACGCATCGCGCTCTCCGTTCGCTTCTTTTCGAGCACTCGCTCGAGTGCACCGTTTGGAACGACAAATATAGCCAGTCGTTCAAAATACAAACGTGCGATTATCATATACGGTTATTTTCCGTCATGCTTAACTCATTTCCGTACGAAATTTGAATATTTCAATTTTTGTTTCCATACCCCTTTAATGCCTCATGATCTTGTCAAGGGGTTTGAAAGGATGTAGTGCTCTGCAAAACTGTTGGGATACAGTTGATTGATACAAAGCTTTCTGTAAACGAAGCTGATATTTAAGAAGCATTTGTGGAGAGATTAAAACAGGACCGGTTCAAATGCAAAAATGTTTTTAAGAATAAGTTGAAACAGTAAGGGTCAAAACGAAAAAATTGAGTTTAAATGAGAAAGATTGTAACACAAAGGGAGTCTCTCGAGAATCTGTTGAAACAAGAAAGCTTGAAATGTGAAGGGCGTTTTGAGATGGCCGGAGTTGAGATG